TTTTTTACAATTACATATAAGAGAAGGAACTTTTCATCTCCTAAGATAACCTTTCATTAATCATGAATTTACATAACTTCCGTACTCCAGCTAGTATATATATATATATATATATGCTACAACTTTATAAAGCATTAAAAGGAATCCTAAATACACCCTATCCTACGCATCAAGTCCCATTCTGCCTTAAAAGCAAGTTGAACCCTATCGCCACGGGTATCCTTTACTGCGCATGACACAAGGTTTTAGTGTCTTACATTCAAAATTTTATTAAACTACTTTTTGTTTATGCTATACCAATTAGCATAGCATAAAATATTAGGTAATAATCCATACTTTAATAGTATATAAGTTTTAAGTTCTTAATTCTACAAGGCAATATCTTAAAAAATCTTGAATTTCCTCTAGTGTGACACACATGACACATTTCCTATAGATATCCATCATTCCTACAAAAAGTATAAAATTACAAATAAGTCATTTAAAGTATTATTTTATATTTCAGAACCATCGATATAGAACACAAAGTATCTGCAAAAAATCGAAAACTATCTGGGCTACAGTATAAAAAGGCTTAAGCGCAACAACTACTTTCAGAAGAGGCCATACATTCTGTGATAATTCATCTGTTTCTCTTGCTTCACCATGAGATTAATTCACAAAAAGCAGCTGACTCAAAATCAGCAGCAACCGAAATAGATACTTCTTAACTAATTACTAGTGCAGGAACAATTATTAGTGCCTCGGAAGTTTCCATTGTTAACAATTATTAGTACCTCGGAAGTTCCCATTGTTAACAATTATGAGTCCCTCGGAAGTTCCCATTGTTAACAATTATTAGTACCTCGGAAGTTTCCATTGTTAACAATTATTAGTACCTCGGAAGTTCCCATTGTTAACAATTATGAGTACCTCAGAAGTTCCCATTGTTCACTAATTATTAGTACCTCGGAAGTTTCCATTGTTAATCATTATTAGTACCTCGGAAGTTTCCATTGTTAACAATTATTAATACCTCGGAAGTTTCCATTGATAATAATTATTAGTACATCGGAAGTTTATTGTTTCGCAATTAGAAATAACTACAATTGTTGGTTTGCCATCTACATCAAAAGAGACAGAATTCTGTTTCATTTTCTTCTGAAACTGTTTCCATAGTACCCAAGAAAGTTTATGTTCTGCGTAAAAAGGATGAACACGGATCAAATATAATTCCTTGCTCGGACTTTGCCTTTGTAATAGGTAGAGTCAAGCAATTTACTGGTGTAGCTGCAATGCAGTGAAGATGGTATTCTAGAAAAAGGATGAATTTCCCGAATCACACGAAACCAGATGCAAAACGGCCATGAAGAGAGCACGAAGATCATCTTACTCGTTATAAGTGGTTACCGGTATCACAATGTGATGTAAAAGCTGATGAGTGGTTTAGTGCATGTGTTCTCTTCTCAGAAACAGATAAACACAGAAGTTACAAAATATATTAATTGGTAATACGTCCAATTACTGATTCCTCTGACCCTAAAATTTTACAATTACATATACGGAAAGCAACTTGTCATGTCCTAAAATAACCTTTCATTAATCATGAATTTACATAACATCCATCCAGAGGACGGGTACTCCAGCTAATATATAATACATAGAAGAGAATCCTCGCGGTACTCCCCTTTACAAATCGTCTTTTATTTTTTTGTAAATATTTACTTTGGCGCCCCTGGAAAAATCGCCCCCCCCCAATTTAATTTGGGCTGAATCGGCTAGTGTTAGTCTTTATAGCTACTTATTTAATTTAAGTGTTCCTATTAATGTCGAGTTATTTTGTGAATACAATAGCTAAATTGGAATAATTTGGTTAGTTTGTGCAAGTATATACCGTGTTGTTGATGCTAGATTGGACTTGCGTTTGTTCGCCCTGTTGCTATAGTGTCAAACAGCGATTAGCTTGATCCCCACTATAGCAGTCCCTTCTTATTTACACTGGGAATTTGATGTAAAAAAATCACGAATAATGATAATAATAATAAATAATTAAAGTAAAATAGATTAATGCAAATACACATATATATCAAAGCAGTATGTTACCTCTCTTTAGTCGGAGGTGGAGGGGGGGTGCTCGAATCTAGAGGCGGGGTCACATTACCTGAGCTAATACCCTAACAAACGTGCTGCGAAAGGACTGCCTAATAGAAGCAGGAGAGCCTATGCTTTGGCCAGTGCTAAAAACTCATCCATCATGTAACCCTTGCCACAATGATGTCTCACGTATCTTCAACATAAAAGTTAAACCCCCTAAAGTAAATATGCTTTCTGTTTTACAATGGAAATGTCAGATTTAACAAACATGGTTCTTGAGACTAAACAAATGGAAGAGAAACTAACCAATGAGCCATTATTCAGGTTTAAGTAGAAAATATTTATCGCGCTGCAACGGTAAGAGATTCCTGAAGGATAGTTTGTTTCGAAATGTTGACTACCTCGTTCCTCACAGGCGACTATCTACATATTTCCCATTTCTTTTCCAGTCGAAGATTCATTTTAAAACAAATAATCCACTTCTCTTTAAGGGGGGGGGGGTGCAATCATTAAAGGAAAACTATAAATTTTAGACTGTATAAATGTGAAATGAATAACACTCTAATGTACTACCTTAAAGTTTTGGTCGAAATACTTCAACAACGTCTTAATGGATCGGACACTTTGAAGCGTTAAAATAATAAATACACTTAAAGCTGTCGAGGAATAAAGCTGCATATTATCAAAACTGGATTACGCCGCAAATGCATTTTATAGTTTAATATGGGTTTTACAGTTTCAGAACCTCGCAGATGTGAATACGTGAGCTGAAACAAACACTTATAAATAATGGCTGGAGACGGCTTGAATGGGTAATGAAGAAAAACTTTAATATAACAGCAAATGTACAACGTTTCGACAAGGTTTTGTCATCATCAGGTACACATCGAATGATGATGACAAAACCTTGTCGAAAC